TTTTTTTAGAAACTTCATAACCGAGAACCAAAGTTTTACCTACGCTTTACGGTTACCGAGAACATGGTCAATCACTAATCACAATTTGTTTGTTCACTCATTCCAAAAACTGGATCATTTAAAAATTTTGCTCAGTTTCAGTTAAAATGTAGGTACTGAATAGCGTGCTTCCATGCATATATTTGAAGTCAAAATAATACATAATAATCTTTTTATCTTTTATCGAAAAATTTGAAAACATCATTATCTCAGAATATTACAAAGTAAATTCTTTTTGTTTTAATATTTCAAAAGCGACGTATTTAATTTCCCTGAAATTCGTAGAACAAAGTACTGTCAACGTAACTTTTACACTATATTTAATAAAATTAAAATATTTACCCTTATAAAAAATTAATAAATAAAACTGTAGTGAAGAATATGTTCTTAATACACGCGCAGAATTGAATGTGATTCATGAAAGACGAAAGTCCTGTCTAAATAACTTAAATCAGTTTCGATTAGAAACCAATTTTACTCACCTTATTGATTCGGAAGAAAGTAGTTTTTATCTCTAAGTTGAGAAGCAGAAAAAATATGATGTTAGACAAAATTAATTTAAATTTCTTCCTGTCCAATAGATTGCATGAACGTTAAACCCTACCATCTAAACTTTCATTCGACCTAAATGGATTTAAATAATTCTCCATAGAAACGAGAAACGTTATTTTATTTACTGTTCGTTTATCAAACGGACTTTAATAGTGTTTTACGTAACTAGCACATAAAGATAACTGTAGATAAATTTCAGATCGATGCGGAAAGCGAGGCCTGAAAATCTGCAGTATATAGGATTCTGAAAGTATCCGGAATGTTTCTGTACATTTTGATTATTATAAATTAAAATCAAAATTTGTTGTCAATAGGTAGTAGGTATGAGACACTATCCAAAAGTACGTTCAAAATTTTTAGATACACTTTAAAACTTTCATATAAATGCTAAATGTACGGAACAAAATTTGTCGCCCTGTTCATGTTAAAAAATTATGTTCACATCTGCAAATTATGTTAGGGATCTCCCATACTTGTAACTTAACAATGCACTTTTATACCCACTCTTTGCTTTAGATCCTACTGAAAATCAAACAGTTTCGTAGCTTAACATGTGCTTTTAATAATCCACCATTATTTTTCAGAACTGCCTCATAGATATTAATGTATGAACAGATATATTTACTTATTCTGTGCACTTCTGGGATTAAATGGCTGATTTAAATCCTATTTTTCTGGATTAAAGTGGTCTATTTGTTCCCGAGAGACTAAATATAAAAAAACCCAAGGGATTAAATAGGAATAAATTCAATTACCATGACAACAATAATTTTTATTCTCTGAATTTTGAACGTATCCTTCCGCCACAACTTGAGACTTCTACCCCCATGACGTTTTAAAACATCTATATTAGATCGTGCATCAGCAAGTACGTCGAAAACAGTGACCCATGTACAACGACGCTTCCGGAAGATTTAGAAATTTAGCAATTTTTTGTGGCAAGAACCTAAAGGTATTTTTGTCAACTGGTTGCACTGTACATTTCTTGTTAGCATAATATACAAAAAAGCGTTTTCCCTTTCTTAATTCCATAAATTTCCTGGTATTCAGGCAAGCTCATTAGCATTGTTTAATGAATTCTTGAAAATGAATGTTCTACGAACTCTGTTCTTTTTGTTTCTGACACTAAATAATAACAAAGAGTCTAAATCTTGAACATCGGTTGTTAGTAAATCCACTAATTCTTCACTTCTGCAAGCATCAGCCACACCAATGACAAGAACAAACTGTACAATAAATTTTTAAATACGATGCCTACTAATTCGTTAACAATTTCTTACCTTACCATTGAAAGTTCATCATCAGTAGCCTTACTCAAAAATTCATTCACTTGTTCCATCGACAAAATTTTAAATTTCGCACTAACCCGGCAATTGTTTTGTTTACAGTTCCTTCAGTTATCTTTGATGCCATTACGGAACTCTCAGAAACTGATTTTCAACTGCAAACCTTTTTTGAAAGTATTTTGTCAAGTGCCTCGGAAGTACCTAAAAAGTCTATATCCTACGGGACTGACGTATCATTTAATCCCTTTGGGTAAATTTATCCCTCCCTCGCTACGCTCGCTCTAGAAACAAACTTTTACCGGCGTGATAAATCAATGCACCTCCTGCGTGATACAATATAGTATTATCTATTACAGGTTCTATTACACTACTGTTGTAATTAATATTAAACTACGTACATATCAATATATTTTTATAGATTTTTCGTGGTTGACAGTCAACAAATATTTCAAGACGTAAAAACAGATGATCTTGTGTGTAGACGTATGGTCTAAAATTGTCAATAAGCCTATTATATAATCAGGTACACAAACTTATTTCAATATATTTTTACAAATCAGCAATTCAAACGACATATAACATGATAAACTGATCTAATATTATTATCATTACTTAGGCAGAAATTCTTACATCCCTGAAATACTGTTCAATATATCCACCTTCTTCGAAAAATTATAAGTTTGCGAATTTTATTATAATTTTTTTTAAAAATGTGTGTGTAAACCACAGATAAAGAAGCATGCTACGTTTGCGTTTGTTTCCAGTTGATCTTTCTATTACAAAATTTTGTGATGATGACATGGACACGTATTAGTTTGAATAGGTGGAGCGTAATAATAGTAATAATAATAGCACAACCCAAATTTTCGGGAAAATGAAATGAGGTGAATAATTCTTGATTTGATCAATAAACTGCTTTATTTAGTATTTTTTTTAGTGAACTTGTGTAAGCAATACTAAAAAATTGAATACAGTGATTGACCCAAATTTTGACATCATCAAAGGTTTGGGAGGAATAAACATGTAAATTTTGATTAACACTTTGTCGTGCTTACGATAACCTTAATACATATGCACGATTTCAGGGCATTCAGTCTTCTAATTGCTAAGTTATATGGTAAAATTTTGTTATAATAGTATTTTGATTTTTTTTCCAAAATCTTGATGACGATAAAACAATCAAGACGGAATCATAAACCACCGGTATGGAAGTATATTATTTTATAAAATTTAAATAGCATTTACTATGACATAACGTCATCAAATTGTTGGTGGGGACCATCAGACAAATTTTGGTTATCGTTTTACGATCGACACAAAATTCCTAAAATACACATAAAATTTCAGAACAACCAGTCTATTTAATAAAATCGACACAGACGATGGGTGACCAACAGTCGACAGACACACTTCAATGATAGGCCTAATTTTTCATATTTCAGACTTGAGAGGCCATGAAACGTAGAGAAAACATGAAAGTAGCCGTTCGTCGGATGGACTTCTCTAGCTTACGTTCGGAATGCAAATATTGCAATTTGGGTTGCTAGTCCAGAAAATACTATTTTGCAAGTAACTATGAGAAATATTGCGGAGTTGAAACGCTAGTCGAGGAGGAGAAACACGATTTTTACCCTTTTAAATTCAATTTTGACATTTCGTTAAATAATAAATAATTGTTATTAATGTGTCATTAATCATTATTAATTGATAAAAGACATAATAATTGGATGATAATAATGGAAACACTAGCGCGTAACAAAGAAATTGCGGAAAGGGTCATTAACAATAAAATTGGAAAGCATACGAAGAATTTAAAAATGTGTTTTCGTATTTATTACTTACTTTTGCTTATTAACAATCGCATACAAAACATTGAATAATGATTTGTAGTTTTACTGCTAGTAAGAATAATTTAATGGGGAATTGATTTAGGTAAAATGACAGAATACTCGGAATTATTAGTGTTCCCATCATTTCTAACGTGTTGCCATGGTTACTTTTGATTTTTTCAAAACCTCAACAATGGACGGAGCATGAAAAATGTACTACAAATTCTTTTTTATTTTCAAAATTTAGTTACCATATCTTTAAATAAGTAGATGGTTTTACAAATTTTTGTCGGCTTATTTCTGAGAAGTTCAACCAAACAGCGTTAATTTAAAATACATTTGTAGATTTACCACTTTAAGAAGCAATTACAATGTCAATTAATAAACATTTTTACTATAAGTGCACATACATAATGCCAACTGTAGAAAATTTAAAAGCGATTTTTGTTTTTGTAAATGAAAAAAAAATAGGTTATATTTAGGCAGAAGATGATGGAAAAAATTAACCAGCCCACTTTTCTAAGACTAATGGATGTATTATGCATAAATAAACACATTGTGAAAGGCATATTGGTTCTCAGAAATGCAAACATATTATCATTAAGAGTATTTAAGTGAAACATCAACAATATCAATGACTTTACAGGAATTTTAAATTTTTTGATTCAAGGTTTTTCCATTGTCGATATTTTTAGACACACTTTAAAGTTACAGCTTTGAAAATTTATTTTTAATCTGGTAAGTACTTTTAGGTCAGAATTATTTGCCAAATAATGTACACGTGTTACAGGACGTTCTAATTTGAACAAAATGTGCTTAACTCTAAGAGTACGCGTTATGTTTTTGTGCTAGTTAGTTGGCTATGTGTCTAATAAAATTTCCACAATAATAACGAATGTAAGTCATAATATTCACTGCTTAACAAAATTGGCTGTATACTTAAAATAGTTTAACAATAGCAAATTACGCATGTTGTAAAATACAACGTAGTGTGGACCTACTGTTACCTACGAAAATGTCAGGAAGTTGGAAATTAACGTTAAATTCTAACTAGAAATTGATGACAAAGTTCATCAATAAACGATAATGTGGGTAAAGTTAGTAGTGGTGAGAAGAATTTACTTTACGTTTTACACTCATGCGATTATTATAAAGTCACAAGTCGTCGCAAGTGTTAAATGCACTATCGATAAATTCCGGAAAATTGTCTAAAAAATTAACGTCATCACAATCAATATTGTTTAAAACGCTAAGACGACCCTGAAAAATAATAGTCTTAAACGTAGCAATAAAAACATCAGTAAATACAATTTTTAAATTAAAGTGGTGGAAGTACTTGAAGTGCTAAAATAACGCCAAGGTATCTGTTATGCTGGATAATTTTTGTAATTGTAGGTTTCATGTTTTCTTTTAAGGAAAAAGTGGGAACAGAATTGTATATTTAAAAATATACATAAAACAATCCGTGTTAGTTCTGTGCCAATTAAAAGTTTCCTGTTCTCAGTAGTTGGATTAATGGTGAAACAAACTATTTTAACGTAAGTAACAAATCATTGTTCATTGTGCATTATTTTATAAACATCGTGATTGCTTGATTGCGCAGAATTTGTTTTAAAGAAGTTTACATAACACGACGATTACCTGAAACCGCATGTCATAAAACTAAAGTTCTAGGTATCGATAATAATAGATAATATGATGGTAATTGAAATTTTTATCACATTTTGTTAAAATCGTAATTCCTAACAAGTCTAATACATGCGTCAATTTATCTCATGAATTGCATGTGCAAACAGTGAAAGCCTGTTGGACACCTCTTTTTCGTCGAATTTAGTTATGTGATTATTATGATTGTCACAACATTGGAGAAAACCGGATTATCTAATAAATTATGTTCTAGGTTTTTCTTCTACTGATACCATGACTCATGATATAACATTGACCTTGCACATTAGACTTACTTAAAACGTCATGAGGGTTACTATCATTGCCTTTAGCTCTAATCTAAAATTTCTTATTACGGATAAAATGTTACAATTACTGTTTCTCTGTGCCTAAGAACCAGTTTTTGAATCGATAGCTATTGACAAAGCAAACAACTTTGTAACTATTTATTATTATTATTATTTTAAACATTAACCATGAGCTTAAATTCACCAGCGGTATATGAAGGCGCCTTTCGTATTGTTTAAAATTTTACAGAAGTGTGATTAATAAAAACAGAACAATATGCAAGCAGACAATGAATTTCAGTTTACAGTGTCGGAGAATATTTTAGATTAGTGGTAATAACGTTGGGTTTGGTTTGATTTTGTGAGTTTATAGACTCAAGTATCATTTGTGTAGCTCTGTTGTTTAGACAGTGGCACCCCTTCTTCAGTCTTTAATATTGATTTCAATTTTTAATGTCGACACGGCCATCGAATTAATTAAAATTTGTATTTGTAAAAATTTTAGTAACCTTCAGAATATTGGCGAACCGCATTACGAAAGGCCACTAAAATGAAAGCTTTGTTTCCTAGAAGACTCAATTAGCTTTTGTGATAGCTTAATATATAATTACAATGTTAATTGCTACGAAAGTAAACTTCCCAATTTTTTTGAAAAGTGAACTTCTTCGGAATTTATAGACAGACTATCTGTTTAAACATAAAACTACTTCATTAACTTCTGAATCATTGTTAATATCAGGAAAAACTTAAGGCTCACTCGGGGACATATTTAAACATAAATATCTACAAATGCAAACAAAATTTACGATCGATGTTTGTTTCATATATAAACATTTTAACCATAGATTTGTTATAATTTCCCTCTTCTTGAAGTACAGTTAAACGAACCGAACCACTGATATACCACAAGCACAAACTCATAATATTTTGGATAGGATTTATCCAGCAAAATTTTGAGATGACGTCATAGATTTTTCGGGGCTTAAATACATCAATTTTAATTAGTGATTTAATATGCTTACGATAACTTTCAAACTTTTGAAATATTTCAGACTATTCGATTTTCTGTTTATAAGTTATATATTGTAAAATGCTATTTTGAATTTTATTCCTAACATGTGGATGTCTAGCGTAAAATATCAATGCGAATTCATATATATCGCAAGTGCAGCATTATGTTATTTTATAAAATTTAAATAGCACTTATTGTGCAAAATTTACTAAATTATGGTACGGAAAATCAAAAAAATTTTGGTTGGCGTTTTACCATCAGCTATTCTTAAAATACATTTTGCAATTTCAAAACAATCGGTCCAGTAGTTTCGGAAACTATCTGTCTAATCCAATCACAAACAGATCACAGATGACAGGCGGACAGACAAGCAAACAGAAACATTGCAAAATATATGTTACTGATAGCTAATTGGCCACTTTTAATGTGAAATTTTGTTAAACAAATTATTTGATTACTAGGGTCTTTTTGAGTACCACAAATTCGTGAAATGTATGGTAAAGTTAATCAGAACGTAACTTTTGTGACATTTCTTAAGTCAAAGAAATTACGTACCTCTACGTGCTTGCAACTTCATCGTATTAACTGGGATACTTCCCTAATGTAGTTTCTAAGTGTATCTTACCGAGCATAGATTTTATTAAATCAGTAAGTACACAAACTATTCGGCAGAATATTGCTTTGTTATTAGGTATAAATCTGTTTTAAGCCTACCGTGTAGACGTTAAAAAGATAATCAGAATTTGTCTGATCGTTCCCATCAAAAATTGCTGACGTTATCTCGAAATTTTTACATGTAAATCGTATGTCAAATGTGCATAATATAGTGTGATTGTGGTTGGTACCTATTAATTTACCCCCTTTTGTAATTTGTACCTGTACTTTTGGAAAAAAAGAATATTATCCTCAACATTTTTGCAACAACGCGTATATCAGTTTGGATAGATGCAGTATAATACCAATAGTAGCAGTATTATATTCCCACATTTTTGGGAAATTGGAGTGAGCCGTTTCTGATTTAATCAATAAAATATTTTGATTCATTCCTTAACTTTTTTGAGTCACATGTATAAGCAATTCTAAAAAAATGAATGCAATGGTAAATCACAAGCAAAGACATCAATAAATATATTTTGGTTCAAAATTGCCACGCTTACGATAACTTTAAAATGTCTGGATATCTGGGTAAAAACTCTACACATGTAGGACTATGTTATTTTATACAACTTAAAACCCATTTACTATGTACAACTTTGAGGTGACGTCACCACATAATTAATGGGGATAATAAGCGAAATTTTGGTTAGCATTTTATGACTAGGTATATGATATTCCTAACATACATATAAAATTGTACAAGAAAATTTTACTTAACTTAGCAGCTACAAAACCGATTGTTCTAAAATTATATACGTGATAGTTATGATAAATCAGAAATTACAATTAATTTGTTTGTCATTTCCAAAATTTTAGAAAAATATAGAAAATAATGTGCATCCATTCATGTTCACCAGTATTTTTAATTTTCTACTTGTAGATTTTGAAAAATCCTCAAGTGTACAACAAAACTTTACAATTTAACTTAGAAACTATATAATTATTTGAAATTTTATACGGTTTTTAAAATTGTTGTGACAAAGGTAAATTGTCGTCATCTTAAAACTGTTTGAAATTTATAAGGAAACTGGAGCATCACTTCCTTTACTTGAGATTTAATAATATATCGATCTTTTCAATACTAACAATGGAAGGTGTAGCAAAATAAATAAATTTGTAAAAAGTATACAGTGTGTCTTAATACCTATAAAAAGAACTTTGAAATTTGTTAAAATTAATTTAATCATTATCGAACAATAATTATTAAAGTTTGTCCTTTTGTCCTTATATAAAGTTATCATATTTTTTTTAAATAAATGTTTTTTAAAAAATATATGCGCTCTACTACTGAATATGTTTTTGTTTTTAAATGCGAAACAGATGTTTCATTTTCCCAAAATGCCTAAAACACAGAACTATTTTTCATTTTAATATACAGGGTGGGTTACTAAGCGCGTGGTCCTCGATATCTCAATAATTATTACTCCTATTAGAGAAAGAAACAAGTACGGTTACTTTGAGCGGCATATAATAAAATTATTTACAGTTTTAGTTTTTTAACAAAGAAACGGTTTACATAACACATTGATATAAAGGTATTTTTAACATTTGTGTTGAAATATTTTATGGGGAGATATTGAAAATGAAAATCTTAATATACAGAGTGTTTATAAAAAATTATATTACAGTTTTGGAATATCGATGTTTGAGTCTTTGATTTCAGTATTTTATTACTGCACCTTCCTCTAATTGTTATTCCCTTTGTTTCAATATGTCAAAGTAGTGAATATTGCAAAAACTATCAATATTCGACACAAAAAACAGTTTTTATAAAGTAATATGCTATAGTAAAATACAGGAAGTTTTAGGTTTGACAAAAACATATTATACCGATATTTGAAAATTATAGGTGGTATATTTTAGAATTTTTTATATACATTGTAAGACTCAATTTTATTAATAACACAACAAAACGCCCAGCTTTGTTTATTTGTCGATGAAATATATTAAAAATTGGTCTAAGTTTCGCTCGCACTTGAACTCAAACATTCAAACAAATTCTGTCTTAGAAAAAAAAAAGCCGCAGAAGGTAATCGCATCTACGACCTTCGCGTGGCGAGAGGACACGCTAACCTATACCAAGCCGGGCAATTGTAAATCCTCTACTTAAATTAATCTAAAATGTCGTTAGTCAATTTAGATTTTTTTGCTAAAATCCGGAAAAATGGGAAAACTCAACGGGGATTCATAAACCACATACATGAGTATCTTATTTCATAAAATTTAAATGTTATTTATTATGAAAAATTTGTGGTGACGTCATCACAGTGTTGGTGAGGATGATTAGACAAATTTTAAAGGGTCCAGTATTTCCGGAATTTATCTCTCTAATAAAATTCGCACCAGACAGATATACGGAAACAGGAGATCTATTTTTTCGTATTCTAGGATTTTGAAATATAGAGAAAACATGAAAGTAGTCAATCGTCCGATGAACCCTACTACAGCACTCCCTTTACTTACGCATTGCTAAAATTTAATCACATGGCAATCTGACAGTGGAGTTTTAAAAATCAATTATTATTATAAAGCCTAAGAGGAGGCTGTTCAGCGTATGTAAATAACTATTATTGTGTGCTACTCAAACAACAGTGTAATCTGTGCTTTTTTTTTCTATTCGTAATAATTAATCGAGGAGCGGATACTTAGTAACTCAGCCGGTATATAGCAGTTACCACAGTTACCTTTTATAATTTGTTTGTGAAACTGAACTATTACCAACGTAACCTAAGGAAGTAAGTATTATAATATCATGAAAATGGGTACTTTCATGTCTTCTCGACGTTTGATGGCCTCTGGTGTATCAAAAGTAGGTCTCGCGTTTCTGTTTGCGTGTCGTCTAATTGTCGTCTATGTCGATTTTTATTAGACATATTATCTCCGAAATTACAGATCGATTGGTGTCAAATATTATATG